TTCACTATTAATGCAGAAAAACTAGACTTCAACACAAGAGAATCTCCTTTGTAAGTATAATTTCGAAATCTAAAAATTCATGGCTTTGATGTGCAGTRATTACTACCTAGAGGTGCTACAATGGTTGACAAAAATCAATGAGACTGTGGTCAGAAAATATGAAAAAAAAACCAATGTTGTGGCCTTTTTTTGTACAATTTTTGCAACACGATGCATGAACCTACAATCTTATGCAAAATAAATGGAACAACCACTACTTTCCCTCTGGAAGCTTGCTCACACATTCATTTCCTCATCCTTATGGATTTTGTAGCAATTCATTGAYGAACAACATTGTAAATGGGGAGGGGAGGTTTTAGTAAATTTTTCAAAAGATTGTAGATCCCTAGTCAATGTTGACCATTGATGGCATACATGCATACATATATCAGGCATGTCAGAATTATGCGCGAAAACAATCAAAATTATGCAGAATTTTTTCCCCATATTATGCGGAGAAAAGGGTGAATTATGCAGAAAATAATGCGGGATGACGTCATCAGAGGAACGTAAACTTTGGGAAATTTTACATATATTTAGGTTATTGTGTTTGTTTTTCATGCAAAACTCCGTTTTTATCTTAGTTACGAAGTACAGAAGGCAATACCAACGGAAGGAAAGATCTTTTTAGACTTTTTCGTTCTCGCACGCTTTACATCTCACTTGTATCATACGCCATATTGGAATTTGTCACGTGATCTATTAAGGCACAGGGTGACCAGTAATGCAGTGCCCAGACTCTTTTCTGATGAAATTTTGAACGCCTGGTACATTTGTGAAGCCCACGAAAACAAAACTATATTCGGAAAATTATAAGCATGTTTGGGAGCGTTTTTTGATCAAAAAAACAGTCAATGGACCACAAAAAACATTAGTAGAAGGCAAGTCATCTTAAAAAAATGGTATAACATGGGGAAAAAAACACGAATTATGCGGGATTATGCGCGATTTGGTAAATTATGCGGAAAGGGGGCAATTATGCGCGTCCGCATCCKCGCATAATTCCTACATGCCTGATATATCCACACAGCATTGAAAGGGAAGGCAGAGCGCGGCTATACAGACATAATTTTACAATGTTACATGTATACGAAGGGGTTAGGGTGGTCTCATATATTTTATATTTTATTGTAAACACTATGACAAAAGAGAGAATTACTGCCTAAAAGCCTGTTTACAATAGCAATTTTTGAAGGGATTTTATACTTGTGCAATGCATGTC